CATCGCCATGGTGTACATCGGTGTCTGTACGGCGGTACATCAGTACAACATTACGTCAGAAAGTAGTATCACCTTCCGGATGGTGATAAGTTTGTAGGCGCCTTTCCTGACACCACAGCGCTCCAAGGAGGAGGAGACGGAGGAGTTGTAAGCCAGACGTAAGAGCAGATGGATCCGAAACCGACGGACGGATGGATCCCAGGGGTGAGTCACCTCACACCTGGTTAAAACACGGCACCACTCGGCATAGTCGCAATTCCCCCCCCATCACCCTAAAAATCCCCTCAACCTCACCAATATACAGCACTCGGCCACAAACCGCCATGAGCTCCAAAATGGCCAGTACGAGGTCGTTGACGTAACAGAATCCAAACGCCCTGTACGGCATGCCGTGATGCATGCCGCCGCCCCAGTGTACGGCAACATCGCACAGCCCATGCGCCAGGTCGCGTGCGGCAAGGATACTGCCCGCAGCCTGTGTTGGGTTGGGCCCCGTGTGCGTGCGTGTGTATGTGTGTGTGTCAGAGCATAGGCGAATGCATGTGTACACGTACATGCAAGTGCCTCTTCCTTGGGGATGAGGATAATTGTCAGAACACGCAAATGCAGTGTAAGACACGAGCATTTTGAAGAAGAGGAAGAATATGTCCCCTTCCGAAGCATGCGCACTAGGTACGTAGCTAGGTATATACGTTCTGCAGCACTCATACGTTTCCCTCCTACTTTTAGAAGAGAACCATACAGGTTGACATACAGGTTGACATACAGGGCGACATACTTGGTGACATACGTTGGGGGGCCCGGGGCTGGTGGGGGATCACGTCGTCAGCACAGATACAGTCCTGACAACCCCCCTAGACCAAGTCCCCAACAACCAACGACTACCAACCGCCAGGCCCGGCAGCTGGGCCCATTCTTATAAATGGCTGCCAGGACTGCCTCTCCTTCACTCCTCCCTAACTACGCCCTCCCACCTCAACCCTCCCTGGACGGTCCTGTCCCACCCACCCCCCTCCCACCAACCCCCCATCCCACCACACCCCGATTGCAGCATCGTATGGATTGCTGTAGCGACTACGACTGCTTCTTGACGGCTGGCACCGCTATCAACATTGAGCTGTCGTAAATGAGCTATCAATACTCAAGTCAGCCACTTTCAACATGACATCGTGTCGCGATAAATAAAACTCCAGACATGAATCCAAGGGTTTTCCCTTGGGCAATGGGCAATGTCTCTTGCTTGTGCGGCGCCAATCAGGCGCCAATCACGACTGACACACAGCAAGAGTCAATGCGACACATGTATGGAAAAAAACACCCCTGATCGCGCATCCCCACCTACAGCCCAACCCCTGCTGCTAGTGCGAGTCTCTGACACGGCCTCCCCGCTTCGACGCACACGAGCGCCGGCCTTTCCCAGCTCCTACCCCCCCCCTGGGCGATATAACCCACCTGTAACCCCACGTATCTAAGTAGTCCAGGGAAAATGGGACAGTCGCCCCCCTCATCGTCATCATCGTCCTCGTCCTCGTCGCTATCGTCGTCGTCGCTCTCCTCCGCCTCCGTCGCGCGTACGGCATTCGTCAGCGCGGCCACCGCCGTCGCGGCCTGGCGCGATGGTCGTGAATGGGTACCGCCGCCAGCAGCGCCGCCAGTAGCCGCCGTTGCATCCGCAGGCTGCGTGGCGCTGGCCGGCGGGTCGTCATCCTCGTCTGAAATCTCCTCCTCATCCTCGTCCTCGTCGTCGCTGTACGAGCGCCGCTTCTTCTTCGACCGCTTTTTGTTGTTGCCTCCGCCACCACCCTTACCGCCCTTGCCTCCGCCACCGCCGCTTTCAGCCTTTCGCTTCTTCGACACACCACCGCCGCCACCTCCCCCCCCACCACCGCCGCCGCCACCGGTCTGCTGGCCTGCTTTCCCTGGCGCTATCACCTGCCCCGGTCGTACCATTGTCAGCGCCGGCCGCGCACCCGCGGCGACGCCGCCGCCACCGGGAAGCCCAGGCCGCGCCGGCGCTGCCGTTCCAGTCGCTCCCGCCGGCGCCGCTGCCGCTTGCTTCAACTGCATCTGCAGCTGGTGCTGCCGCAGGTACATAATTAGCTGCTGATGTTGCGCCGGCGTCAGGGAACCGGCGCTGCCTGACGGAGCCAGCTTGGTCACAAGTTGCGTCGCCAGCGCAATTAGCTGCGGCGGCACGTACAACTCCTCCGCCGTCGGCGGTGCTGGCACAGGCGCCGGCCACGCTGACTTGGCCTCTACCTTGGCTTCCGCCTTCACTATCTGGTGCTGCGGCGCCGACGGAGGTTGAGGTTGCTGCCGACCCACATTCCCTCCCTGCGTCAGGGGCTCCGGCTTCGGCCGCAGGGGCTGCTGCGGCTGCTGCCGCTGTGCCGGCTGCTGCTGCCGAGCGGCGGCTCCGCCGCCGGCCCGCGGCGGCGGCGGCGCCGCGGCGCCGCGGGCCGGCGCAGCCGCTGCTGCTGTTGCCGGCGCCGCGTCCTCGTCTTCCGTGCCCTGCGGCGCCGCCTGGCGACATACCGACAGACCAAATAGCGCCAGATCCTCCCCCAGCAGCTCCTGCTGCTGCTCTACTGACATGGTCTCCAAGTCCAAGGTGTCCAAGTACTCTAGGAAGGCGATGTATTCGTCGGTGTGAAACCGGCGCAACTGGTCGGTTGTGGCCGGAGGGTAATCGCGCACGACTTGAACAGCGGGGTCGTCAAACAGGCCCCACAGCTCCGCCAGACGATGGGTCAGATGCAGGCGGTGCGGGACCATGGGGTGGTCTTCCCCTAGGCTGAACATGGACAGCTCAGGGTTGTAGTAGATGCGTGTGCGAGGAGTGGGGTAGCTCTGCTGTTGTTGAGTTTGCGAAGGTTGGACTGGCGCGGTGCGTGCGGCTGCTGCGGTCCCTGCAGCCGTCGCGGGTATAGGAGGTGCTGTCCCTGCGTCTGGCCCGGCGGGTGCCAGGGCCGACTGCGCGGCCGCTGCAGCGCTGACACCTCCTGCTGCTTTCATGGCGCTGGAATCCATGGGCTTGCAGTTTCCCAGGTTTTCGCTGTGCGCTGTAGGTCCTGCGCTACTAGGCTTGGGCGCTCCGCGCGGAGCTGATGATGAGGCGGCGATCGATGGAAGGTAAGCTTCCGATGCTCGTAAGGTTTCGCAAAGCAGGCTGGCAAGGCTGGATACTTGCCTGAGCCGGGTTCGCCCGCTCGATGGCGGGTGCGCCTATGACTGATCAGGAAAACGAGGCTGACCCCATGGCGCGAGCCTTGCTATGATCCAGGGTCCGTAACAACGATGCCCCGTAGGAAACCTTGGCGGGGGACTACACACCGCAGGGGATTTGGGATTGCGTACCGTCGACAGATACCTGTGTACCTGTGCCTTATTTGTTATATGCTATAGCGATGCATAACATGGGTTTCGTTGGTCTCGTTCCTGTTGGAGCAACAGAAGCAGCACTCCACTTCCGAACGGGACCCTCCTGGAGTGAGGAGCTTGGAACACAATCATCCTGTTGCATGGGAATATCTCGGAAACCAGCAGCTGTCTTGCCTCTCCATTGTCCTAGTATATAGATTATATAACGTTCTCGACAAAAGTATTGACCTGCATTCGGAACTCCACACGAGATTGAGCTGAACCACATAAATACACGTGAGGGCGCACCACAGCCGTGATGCAACCGTTCCGGAGTCAAGTATTGGGCAAAGCCCAGCAGCAACAGGCACGTCCAGCGAGCACCGGCAACGGATATTCTGACGCCATATGCATCATTTGAAGTGGCAGCTTTACCTGCAGGCGCCCTGCATACCAGGCTTACTTAATCCTCCCAGATGCTGCCGGGGATTGCGGGGTCCTCCACGCCTTGGCGCTGTTTCTGAAAGCACTAACGGGAATGGGAAGGTATGGGCCTTTTTTTAGTTTTGCCTCAACGTATATGGACCAGTTTCATGGTTTGCACCAAGTTGCCACTTACTGTGAAGACGACGACTGGAGTGCTGTTGGCACAAAACTGCAGGTTCACAACAAGCAGCTCAAGTTCTTTTATTTTGACCCTAGTAATCCTGAAGAAGTTCGGGAGACATATGCCAAGCATCGTGAAAATCACAGGTCTGAGATGTATTGGTGTTTGGCTATTGTAGTGTCGACTTCGTGGGATGCAAGCCACGCAGCAGTGACGCTTGGCGTCTTGTTCACCTCCAGAACGTTTCTTATATTGCAGTCGTCATCACACAAGCAGCACTGGCACCAGCAACAGCTACAATGGGAACGGGAATGGATACATCGGTAACGGGGTTCACCAAAACAATGGCCACGCAGCGAATTCTCAGTCTCATGGCCATAGCTCCTCGCAAGTGAGTGTGAATTGTTCTTGGTAGTACGTGGTTCGTTTCCTTGGGAACTTTGACCTTCTGCGGCTGGGCGGGTGTCCGATTATACAACTTCGATATACGCACACATGGGGGGATGCATTAACGCGGCTTCCTGTTGGCTGGAAGGGTAGCGCGTCTCTTATGTACGATCGATGGGTTGGAAAGCACCTGCCCGGTGCTGCAAACCCACCTCAACCATCTTTTGCTTTCGCTGTGCGCAATCCCTACAGCCCAATATGCACACGCGGGCATGGAAATACCTCCTCCCCCCTCCCCGCTTGACACCCAGTTCCATGCCTTTCACGATCTGCTCTACATCTGTAGCTTCTGCACGTGAAGGACAGCAGCAAAGACCTCGTGCAGCTGCAGCGAATGAGCGCGCAGCTTGAAGAGGCGCGTTCCACGCTTGCCAAGCTGCAGCAGTATGAGGTTCTATACAAGGAGTCACGGATGAGGTCTAAACAAATGCAAGCAGAGGTGGCCACGTTGCAGGTAAAATATGCAAAGGCTGCGCACTTTGGGAGGTATCCCGGGACAATATCCACGCGCAATTAAGGACCGTAGGGTTTGCCAGGACGCGAATATCCGGACAATACGACCCTACATTCCGGCTTCTCCTGCTTCCTCTTCAATGCTGCCGACTGCTTTCCAAATGCCGTACGCAGCAACTGCTGGCAGACAAGGATGCCGAGCTGGCGCGGCAGTACAAGCGCATGGAGATGGAGGCCAGCGAGCGCAGTGGCCTCCGCTCGCAGTTCAACAGCGCAGTTGAGGAGGTGAAGGCGCTGAAGCACGAGCTAGAGGAGGCGAGGCAGGCCATGCTGGAGCTGCGGGTGCGGCATTCAGGCCGATCTGGTGGTCGTGTTCGGGATAGCGGATTAGCGGGCTAGGCTTCTCCCTGTGTAGGCGTTCCCTGTTCAGGTGCTGGGCGGTTAATTGGGCGATGCTAAATTTTCAAGGGCTGGGTTTCGGAGGCGGATTTCCGGGCGGACTAGGTTGGTTCCGGCGTTGGCCTGGGCTGTCATTTCACACTGGCACGATTGTACGAGGATACGCAACTAACAACTGACGCTTCGCATCCCGTACAGGGCGTCATACCTGTTAACGTGACCCTGAGGCGCGGGCGTTCTTCGGCGCTGCTTGAGGACGGCAGTAACAACGGTGGCGTCTCCTCACCGGACGTGCTGTCGAGCCTGCAGGGCCTAGCGAAGCAGCTCGCAGAGGGCATGGAGCAGGAGGTTGGCAGCCTGTTTGGCGGCGGTGTCGGAAGGCGTGACGTTTAGGAGGCGGCGGTGTGCTGCAGACCGAGTCCTCGTGTATGAGCAGTTGTTCACTTTGCTTGGAGAGGACGACCAGAGACTGGGGGCCATCGAAGAGGTTACGGCTCCGGGGAGACACCGCGATGCATGACTGCAGCGAAGTGAGCAGCTCTTTAACCGAGAGGCGACCAAGCGCACGCAGCTGGGCCGAGGGCGACCGCAACGACCGCGACGTGGGCGTCGGATTGACCTCCTTCTGCGGAGTCTGTAGAGCCCGAGAGCCGCTCAAGTAAGATAGGAGCGCTGCCCGTGGGGACCGTATCTGGTTTT